ATAAAGCTTCTTCCCTTTATGTTTCTGTCCTTGTATGGTGAGTTATTATTCCTTCCATTTGGATACAAAAATCTAAGTTTTGTTCTGTTTATTTTTTAGTTTCCATTGAATASTTTATGAAACGTTCACTTAAAGATTAAAGAACTTGCTCATTTTAAAAATCTGGTCTGAACTTCTTCTCTCAATCTTTTATTAGGCCTTGTATTTAACTTACAGCATTTTTTAAAATATTAAATAGTCCCATTATTTTTCCAGATAAAAAGACAAACTCTAATTTTTTCTTAAGTTAAAAGTACTATATTGCTCTTTTTCCCCCCAAATTTCTATACACATCTTACTTTAGGAATCCATGGATTTTGTCTCAATCAAAGCCTTTTTATTAGATGAACATGAAAAAAATAGAAGGAAGTCTTTGTAAACACAGAAGGGCACAAAAATCCCCCACTCAGCTGGTACATAATTATTACAAAATTGTCCATCTTTATCAAAATCATTATTAATCTAGCACAGGCTGAGTCTGTGCCTGTGCTGGGCACCACCTGCCTCAGATGAAGGCAAAGAAATGCCACAAGAGATGGATTTAGGATAATATCATCTCCCATCCTTCCCCCTGTCCTGCATAGCCCTTTTGAAGATCTCGCACTAATCCCAAAAATCAGAGATTGATTTAATCCTAAAAACAAAAGCCTTCCATTATACTTATTATTATAATAATAATAAGTATTATTACTGTTATTATTGTCCCCACCACTRTTATTATTACTACTATGCTATTATTTTGGACTGTCAATTGTTTTGTTTACTATAGAAATATTTAGTTATTCTTTGAAGCATGGTAAACCCATATCTCAGTATTCTGTAGCAATTATCCAATTTAAATACTTCATGTAATAAAATGGTCTAATTGAGGATGGCATGCACAAGTACACTCTCTTACCAGCTTTGAATTTTCTGTCCTTCCTTATGTTATTGAAATCCCTCTATTTCTTGCATGGTGAGAAGCAGTAGTGCTGAATCTCCATCTGCACGTTCTCTCTCCTTGTCACTCATTCATTCCTTGTTCAATTAAATGGTTACACACCCAAATGGCTTGTTCCAGTGCCCTCTCTATTGAAAAGTTTTCTGTGTTCTTATGGTCTTATTGCTCTACTCTGATCCCTGTCAAATAGAGTGCAGAGAATTCAAGCCTTGTTTTCAGAAAAGATTTCTTAAATCCCAACAACTTTAATTAAATTGTTATCAATGCAATGATTATTAATGCTTAATATTAAAATTTTAGGAATGGGATGAGGAATTTAACTGATTTCTTCTGTCCCCATCCAAACTGTAGCTTTGTAGTGTATTTCTCAACCCAAGACTTTCAATATTTGGCACCTGCCTGACTTCACACAACCAAGGCAGGAGGTCGCCACTGCAAAACTCAGTCTACTCAGGCGTATACTCATGTGTTTAGGAATCTAACTTGAAAGCTTATTTTTTGAAGATTGAGGGGAGTGGGATACATTACAGTGACAATGAGGAGGAACTCTCATGGGCTATACAGTACTGACAGTTGTTTGCCCAGCCAAAACCCAAATATTTTATTAAACCCAAATATTTTATTAAACCCAAATATTTTATTAACACTTAAGCAAGTAGATAAAAAGACAGTAACTCTTTATTTTGACTATGGAACTGGTTAAAATATCTTACCTTAAGGACCCTTGATCTGACACAGCTTCTGCTTCTTTACTTTCAAATGTTCTGAAGTCCCACAAATGGCTGTAACAAATTGAGAAAACTCAGAAGCTGAAAGGTCATCTGGGAGGGGAAAGGTGGCTCTCAGGCACRAGCTGGCCAAGGCTTTGCTCTAAGAAGCCAGTCTCCCAATGGCTGCAGAGTGGAGGGTCAGATCACCCTTCTGTGGAAGACAGGGCAACTCTTTGCAACTAAAGATGGCTTTTGCCACCGRTCAGAATGAGACTGGAGAGACAAATACCCCCCGTTGTTCCCAGAAACATGGTTGTGGCTCACGTTCAGTCAGCAAGGTTCTTAATTTCAGCCAAAACAGTGGATACCATGAGGCACTGGATGAGCTTTTCCGACCAATAAGTAGAGAAATTTCATTTGGCTAGACAGAAAACTCTGGGTCCAAGACAGGGCAAATGGCTTTGACTCAACTCTTCCCAGTCTCATATGCAAGTCTGATGAAGCAGCGAGGTCTGTGCCAGTTCTCAGTGTGGCCAGAACAGACTGTGCAAGGAGGTGTTTCAGTTTGTTAGATAGAGAGTACAGTAACTAAGTAAAGGAGAGCCTGGAAAATGGAGAGGACCAGAACAGAAGTAGATCCTGCAAATAAGCCAGAAGTTACAAGCGTCTGGGGAACATATTAGTCAGATATGTCTATTAAAGACATCTGTATATATGGCAGCGTCTTGTGAATTGAGAGAACAGRATGCCAATTGCGACCATCGGAGAGTCGTAATTTTGGTAAATGTATAAAAGGGAATTCAGGAAGACTGGGAAGGTATCAGAAAAAGGAGCAGAACAGCGTAACTATTTACACAAACGTAAYAAGCTTAAAAGCAAAGGGGCAATCAGAGTATTTTGCCATGGAGGATGATTTTAATAGCAATGSGTGGTAGGGAAATGTAGTGGAACAATGTAATTATCTACCTACAAACTGTTCAGGAAAGACAGACTAGGCCGTGGAGGCAGAGGAAGTACTGCTGTATAGAAGGATAACATTATTTAGCTGAACTTTAAGTGGGAAGGGCTATGCAACTGAATCTCTGAAGAMAAATAAATAAATGCTAAACTAGAAATTCGAAAGCATTTTTACWACTTTTGAAAAGTAAAGACATTAGCAGGTCTTTGTTGCTAATATCCAGCTTAAGAAAAGGAAACAGAATGAGCATTGTTGAACTCAAAAGAATTGTTAACAGAATTGTGGTAATAGGGACTTGGGCTACTCCCCTAAGCTTGGCCAAACAGATCAGGAGGCACACAAATTAGAAGAGCAATTTCCTTAACACTTGAYGCAAAACTATCTTGGAAAAGTGACAGACAGAAGGAAGAAACTAATCTGCACTCGAGTATTAATCACAAACTGATTGTAGCTACCTCACTAAGTACTCATGCTTAGGTGTACCAGAAACCTAATTAATRGCAGTTCAGGGATCAAACTTTCACCTCTTTGAGGTGATGCTCTTTTTGTTTTCTTTAACCTCCGTGACATAAGTATGGATTTTAACATGCAACAAATTCAACAAAGAGGAACTCCTCCTAAATCTACCCTTAAAAATTGGCCAGAGGTGAAGTAATAAACACAGCTTTATGAGCTGCTCCTCCTCCTGGGAGTGTGAAAGCCTTTAGAGAACTTCTTATATGGCTCAGCCACTACCAGCTCCTTGATAAATCACACAGGTGTGCTGCGCCTTCCACATAGGAGGTTTCTGTGTGCAGGTCTGCAGCTGTGCAGTGCCCAGGTATCCCGCTTTCTGGGCATGGTTTTGTGTTGGCTTCACAGCAAACCTRACACAACTGGTGTTTGTACTGAGCCTTGTTTTAAACCTTCCTACCCGAGCCCTGCTTGCTYCTAGAGGAACACCACCTTGGCGTGGGTTCATTCGACACTGACTGGGTCTTGGGCTATCGCCGAGTACTAGGCAGGGCTAGTCTTCACTGCAGGCTACCGCTGTGTCACAGCACAACCTTGAAGAGTCCCTTTGGCACCATGCCTGCAGTGACTTGGCAATTACATCCACCTAGGCTACGCTCAGCGTTGTGGCAGCCAGCTGCAGTTAAAACCTGCTGGGACCACGGCTCAAGCACGATTAGCTGGCACGATGACAACCAYGTATTTGTCTCCGCTAACTTCTGCTCCATAGACAGGAATAAGCAATATCCCATCAAGGAAAGGCRTAACTTGTGTATGGACAAATGCTTTGTGGAAACTCTGCAAGGCAGCGCTGAATGCCTGAAAGTGAATAGTGAAAAGAGAAGTAATGAAGGAAGTAAGGTTAAACAGCCAGAGGAAGAAGGAATCACACAAGAAATGGCTGAAGAAACACACACAGAGGGAAAGTGAGTACATGAACAAAGCAAATAAAAAACCCAGTGTATGAAAGGAGTGCAAGTTAAGAGGTACAACTTGGCAGTGAACATAGATGACAAAGTAAGACTAAAACCAACATACAGGTAGGCGTGAGAAGAGACTCACTGACCCTTGCATGGTTCCTATATATGTAGAAGGGCCATTTGGATGGGACAGAAAACATTAGGCAAAAGGATGCAAAGCAGCAGTGTATTTTTTTCCAATCAGAAGCCATCTATTACCTGTGCTGAAAATGTCTTTTTTCTTCAAGCATATTAAGAGTTTAATATATGATAGCATCACTGGTGACACTGAGAACACTGGCCGTTAATGAATCAATAGATTTGTTTCATCTTTAACTAATTTGAACCTTTAATCATCTTGCTTATACAAATTCTACTTCATTCAGGTCAAAGTATTAAATAGGCTCAAGAAGTAAATAAGGAAATAAATACCAGAAACCCCATGGGGAGCATTGAAATTAAAGCTTTCTAATAGTCAAATCAACTTAATGCTGTGATTACTGGCTCATTTCAGCTTCTTTCCCTCATCACCCTCCACCCAACTCTATGGCTAAAGCTGTGGGAGTAAATGGCCTAAAAAAGGAAAGTGCTTTGGTTTTCTTTTAGTTTCTTGGTGGTTGTGTTGCTCTAGATTGAGGTTGATGTTCTTTGTATTTTAACTGCTCTCATTATGAACATACAAGAACTTTTACAACACAGATATGTAAAATAGCCAAAAATATTGTCTGCAAATTTTGTCCAATGCTCCGTGCCTGCTTTGCACTCTACTGTGTGCTCATGTTGCTGATGCATCTGACTTTTTTATGGATATAAATTATGTGAGTGTAAACCCTTCTGTAGACAAAATCTTGCTGATATAACTGTCTCCCACCAACACAACGTATTTCAGTTAATGAGTCAGAATACACTTTGATATCAGTATAAATGGTTCCTCCTTGGGGGAGGAAGTCCTGAACTTTTCTCTTCCCTCATTTGTTCTTAAATCAATCAAACCCATATCTAATATTTCTCATCCAGAAATAGTACAGATTCTTTTCATCACCTTTTTGACTGGTGGTCCCCGTCCGTRTTCTTGCTTCGATTGTACAGTCGTCAGAAAAGGGTATATCTAAAATCTTCTTGAAAGCAGAAGTTCTGTTTCAAGTGATGGTAACCGCAGGATCAAACACCTCYAATCTTAAAAGAAAAAGAAACAAAACTGACTCAAAAGTTTGAAGCTAACAAATGGTTTGTAGCTGGCTAAGACACTTGTATTTAATATTGAAGAAGCAGAGACTTTCTGGTCTCCAGTGGAGCATCTCCTAAGCAGACAGACAGGCACACAACAAAATGAAGTCTTAATGCTGAGAACTTCTTGAGAACACTGCAATAACATTCTGGCAGGTTGGACTCCCTTGGCTTATGCACTCACTGCAATTTGAATGTCTCTTTCAGTTTAGCGTGATGCTTGGCAAATTTCCCAACCTTACATTATCTGGGAAAGGAAGACAGGAGAAGCTGGTACATTCAGCAAATCTTTGAAGAAGCTTCTTCGCAGTTTTCTTGTAGCAGAAGAGTTGGCTGCAAAAGAGTGTAGAAGTGTCAGGACTGCAGCTTAGCTAGCTTGAAAAGGGTTTATCTGACTTGCATCCAGGCACCAAGATGCTCAGATACCACAGCAATGTGTGTGGTATAAGAACCTAGATAGAAGATGATTAGATAGCAAATCAGACATAATTTTGCATGTGATTTCCTGGGTTTGTCTCAACTTATAGCAGCAACAGTTAATTATAGGAGGTTTGAAGGCAGCTCCTGGGTGGGGTAATGTCACTTATACATTGGATTCCAGCCATAAATTGCCAGCTGAGAGTTACCACTGTGGCAGAAAGCCCCTATTGATGCAAAGCCCGTTGAAACCATCCTTGTGCCTTCCCACTTAGGAGTAGAAGCAGCAGATGGCTGTGATGGAAGATCTAGGGGAAGAAGAAGCCTTCTGGCAGCAATGGCAGAACTCCAAGGAAGAGAACGTGGGGACACGCATGGGACATCACCCGAAGAGGGACGGATGTGGGAGGTGGTTGCACACACGAGTTACTTGTGGTCACCCTCTAGATGATTGTACCTACTCCCAGCTCTAGTGCCTCTCCTTCCACCACATATGAATTCCTCAGCCCTTGTAATCACTTCCTYTGGCTCTTGAGCAAGGGCAGCTCTTTAATTGCAGATTAATGCGTTAATGAAATTCTTGAGGCTACGTTGAAGTGACTGGGCAAGAGAGCAGCTGCTGGCACAGGAGTCACATTGCTCTACAGGGAAGGCAATTCCGTAAGCAGAGGCAGGATCCGTCATTTTTTTCCGGTAGTGCCTCAGGGCACATCTACACGGCAGAGCGCAGCTCTGCACAGAGATTCTGGGGCTGCCTCTGCACAGTGGCTGTGCTAGTTTCACAGCAGGAATATTTAGCCTGCCTGGAGTACAATTCTAATATACCCACGTGTTTGCATCCTGTCCCTGCTCCTGAGGTGGCTTGATGAGTGCAAGGTGAGCTCTCTCTTCCACTCTGTAGAGCTGCACTCTGCTGTGTGCTCCCACCTGCACTTAGAAGTATTGAAAAAATAAATTACAACATTTAGGAAGGACTTTTGATCCGCAGTTTCTGATCTGTGGGGTCTTACTAATTTTAGAAAGGCTTATTTCATAGGTAATGCTTTCTTATTTTTTCTTGGCTGACAGTCCTGATTTTGTTTTATGTTCCTTCCTGTGAGTATCTGAAATTTTGCATGAAATTTCTTTTCGCTTGGGAACACCAACACATGAAGTAATTACCAATCTTTCCTGCCTTAGTTAACAGYGTTCTCCTTCCTTGTTCTCTTAGTTCAAGGTCACAACGATAGATTCAAATCCTTATGAATTTTCATCTGACATGCTGTCCACAAAAATTGTTGATTAAAAGATCCAATTTCCATTGGCATTCTCCCTTTCAAAGGATGTCAACAGGAAATATAAATGTGCAGCCCTTTGTGAATGATCTGCAAGGACATGCAGGCTTTTGGGGAAGAAAAAAAAAAAAAAAAAAAAAAAGCAGCAGTTAGCTAAATCCTTTAGTTTCTGTTTTGAATGACTGGCCATAGGAATGCAGGCTAAGCTGTGTTTCAGCTGTTCCCAAGGATGTGTGCACGTAACTTGTTGATAGTGGTCGGTACATCRGGCTCCAGTGACAGCTACGTGACCACTCTGATGATCACTGTCCTGTAGCAGAACCAGCCCCTGCCTCCTCTCAAGAACACCAGGCATGAAAGAAAACAAAGAGGGATCTGTTTGTTCAGAGCACTGGCACTCGTACCTCCTGCTTTTTACTGAGAAAAGAGAGATCCTAGGTCATTTCAGCTCTCACTCTATTCTCCCAGCAACCATTAGGTTGTAAGGAACTGCATGACTTGCTCCAGCAATTGATGTGAATTTCTGATACCTGGGAGAGCTGAGACTTTTGCCATACAGGACCTGTAGGGGATCTGATTGAAAGGAGCAAAACTCWACACCCAGAACACCAGCTTACTTCATTGGGAACTACCCATTCCCAACAAAAGGAAAGGAAAGTCCACCACAGTCTTAAAGTTTTARCATCATATTTTTAAAATCTTACCAGTGTCTAAGGTATACGTGTCTCACAGTAAAAATYACTTGGAGTGTGCTCTGAATGCACAGACGCAGATCAGTGCCGAACATCTGGTTAAAATAAATTACAGTCTTATTTTGCAAATAAAAGTTCCTAGGGTCTACATGACAAAGTCTGGCCAGCACAACTATCTCATGGGGAAAAAATCACATCCCTAGCCTACAAAGATAACTATTTTGGCATGATTCCCTTCCCCACTATGTAGACTTATGTAGACTTAGAGCAGAGAGGAGTCCTTCTGCCAGTGTAACTCACATCGTTTGGGAGGTACTTCAACCATGCTGGCAGACTCCTGCAGCTGGTGCAAGCCATGTTTCCATCGAGGAATATGGGCAGCACAGTGATACCAGCAAAGCCCCTGAAATATTTAAATAATAGCAATTTTTCTCCTGCTACCAGTGTCTATCCATTTTAAAGCTTCCTGCTAAAAGGAATCACACTGAATTTGTGTCCTTCCTTGTCTCACCAAGACATTATTTCTTGCTACAGAAGAATGAATGTATATATATTGATAGGAGGTGTGTTGTTTTCCAGTTTCCCAGTGATACTTGCTTTTGAATGGGAGAAGATCCCAATTCTCCTGCAGAATGCCTGTTATATGTTTTGGTGTTGATTTTGGAGGTCGAGAGGCAGAGATGGTTTGCCTTTTATTAAGTCTTCATATTTTGGTTTTGCAGTGTGGCATTTAAATAAATCTAATGGTCATAGTTAATGAATTACAACTGTGTATGCAAATGAATTTGAGCTGTTTTGAATAAGTAAACTAAGTCATTTTGTCTGTTTGTGACTTGGTTTGTATTCTTACACTCTTACAGGTCTTTTTTTTTTTCATGTGGTCCCTGTTAGCTCTTATGTGATAACATTTGCCAAAGGACTTTCTGGATGAACCCAAAAATKGAATATTTACCAGACCACCTTAACCTACAAAGCCCCCATCCATAAGGCAAGGCAATGCATAAAGCCATCCGGGCTTAAATGTTCAGCTCTTTTGACCACAGTTTTCCCCTGTCCCACTTAGACAGGTCATTTTGCCCAAATTTCTACTTGCCTCAGTGTACACAGACCCTGCTCATTCCTTTCCCTGCTCCTTCACCCTTCATTTCTCTCCCAGGTTTCATGTTTTTGCACAAGTGATGAACAGGACAGAAAGAACAAAAACTGAGGGGGAGGCACAATTAAAAACAATCTCTTCTGAGCAGATGCAGACCTGGAACTTCCCCTCATTTTAATTTCCCATTATCACTTAGTTGTGAATGGATACAAACATGGAGTAAGACACCAAGAGGCCCCATTCTCACATGCACCACATTGGAAGGGAGAATTTGCAGCATTCCATCAGACTGCCGGGACCTGTCTGCCTCCCACAGTTCCTGGTGGGAGGGCTGATTTGGGAAATGGCAAGAGACAGCAATGACTAAAAAATGCTGCCTCTTCTCTGCCTCAAATAAGGCTTTTCCAGGTGAGCAGAAATGGTCTGAGCCGCTAATGAGGTGTAGGCTGCCAAAGAAAATACATGGGCAAATTTGTATTTTCCAGGTGGCTGGTGGTAGAAATGTAACTGTCCACTGAAGTTTACAGCATAGACTTTTTTTGCACTTACTCATTAAATTGCAGAGCTATCATGAGGTTACTTYAGTGTAATGTTGGCTGTGCTGTCTCACCAGCCCTGTAAATCAGTTGCTTGTCACAAGATTTAGAAAAAAAAACGAGTGCCTGCCTCAAGTCCCAYGAGGAATGGGTGGCACTTCGGCATGGCCTGTTGCTGCCGGAGCACCATGGAGCACCATGGAACACCCAGGCCACCACTCCAGCTCTGTGCTACTCTTGCTCAATGCTGAGCATGAGTTTGTCAAGCCAAAGGGGTTTGGATCAGAACTGAGTGTTGAAACAACAAACATGGGAGGGAGCATRTCCCTGAGGGATGTTAAAACAAGCAGCAGAAAAACGCGTGACTGGTCCCTCGTGGTGCAGTCGAAGGGACAACCTGCTCAGACCAGCTGGATTGCACTGTCTGGTTCACACGTGCACTCAGCCCCTTCTGGCCCAGGCCACCCTGAGCAGGTCCCTCCCCAGGCCGATGGCTTTGCCACCTTGCTGTCCTCTCTCTGCCTCCGCTCATACCTGTGCCTTGAGCCCGACACTGCTGGATGCGCTTGTTTAATGAAATCCTCTGTGRCCTTGAGGTCAAACACGGTGCCACAGCACTCTGAGCACTTCTACAAGCAGCTATTTTCGTTTCCCATTTCCCAGGCGGTTACACGATTTAACCCTTCTGCGGCATCCCAAGAGCAGCACGGGCATCTGGAGCAGGCAGGGAATGAAATGGGGGATGCGTTCACATTTCCCTGTGCTGTCAAGGCTGCACCCGCCATAGACAAATCTTCAAAGCTGCACTCTTAAGTTAGCTGGGCTATTTGCAATATAAGGGGAAAAGCCAGTTATAAGCAAGACAGAGAATTTAGGCAAGATGGAGTATTTAAGCAAGATTTGGAGAAAAACAGGCCTGCATTTTCATTCAAGCCCATTTTGTCTTTTTTTTTTAAAGTCATTCTGAAGATTTGACAGGGGTCTTTATGCATCTGGCCTCTTCTCAGAAGGTGCAGGTATAAGAACAATGCTACAGGGAGAGATGAATCTCCCCAGCAGCTCTGCGACACATTCTCTCCTTCAAAGTGATTCACAAATCCACAAATGGGTATCACTAAATTTACTCTTGTATGTAAACTCTCTAGAACAGGTTTGATAAATTGGAGAATATGGCCTAAAACTGAGTGGGTCTCAGTGCAACTGAGATTCATATGTAGGGACACATTTGTTTTCTAAGTAGAACAGTTTCTAGCACTTTATTTAAGCAAGGTATCTTTGGAAAATAAAATAAATAAACCAGCATATTATTTRAGAAGGGTTATCAGCCTACAAAAGATCTGAAGAGAAAATTTGTGAAGGATCAAATAGAGCAGTTTTGACTGTGTTGTTTGAACACAGTA